TTGTGGGTTCTTTTATGGCTGCCATAGTAACTGCTATTGGGTCTTTCGCTGTTTGGTTATCGACACTAGATGGATTGTGTCTCTATTTGAAGCAGCTTGGATGACCCTTCTTTCAGGGCAACCGCTGCCTTCTGTATTTCTTTCGAGTATGAAAAATAATTTGTTAGGAGTTATGGGTTTGTTTGTGGGTTATGTTGGGAAAAGAATTTGTTGGTAACGGAATTTGTTGGATGCAAGGTGCATCTCTTTGAAGCAGCTTGGATGACCACATGCGGTTATATTTCATGTGGCTTATGTTGGAAATTTTGTTAGAATCTATATGGGAATTTATATGAGAGGATTGTTGGAATCTTTATGCTTATATAAGACTAATATAAGACTTTTTATGACATTGCTTATTTGCTTCGGCATACTTGTTTATTTCGACATACCTGTTCATGAGTACAAAATGAGCTTACATGTTGCATTGAATTTATATTTTATTTATCTTGTTTTTATACTTTTTATGTCTATTAATTTTTTTGAGATAACTGTGGAGCAGCTTAGATGGCCAAAGAACTTTGTTGCGGGCAACCATTGCTTCCGCACTTTGGTAAGTTGAGTTTCTTTATTTCCTTTAGTTTTTGACTAATCTACTCTTTTTTTAATAATTGCAGGACAATGAGCTCCAGGTATTCAGGGAAGTTTGGCCAAATATGTGCAGATGCGGGTTGCCGTCCTTGCTACTCACGTCACGACAGACACATAGCTACGGATGATAATTCTACAGGTGTCTGCGGTGGAGACACGATCCGGAAGACTGCAAATTTTTCAGGTGGGTCGATAGTATACGATATCCCAATTGGAAATAGCTCCTCGGAGTTCGACAGTATCACAACGGGAGAACACTGCATGTGGTTCGAGTGCTTCCGTTTCTACGATATCGCATTCGGACATCTTTGCTCGGGGTTCTGAGGTATCATAATCGGGCAACATTCCTCATGATATGTTTTTACATTTTAAAGTCAATATTATCATTTTTTCCTTGTAATTTTAACATGTTATGTTTTCCCTTTTTTTGTCTCATTATAATCCATATTAGTGTGTGAATCTGTACTTCACTTTCATATATGCCACTAGCTTATTTGATGTAATCAGAACTTTTTAAGTTATATAAATGTAATTCAACTCCTTTGCATTTTTATGTCTTGACATTTGAGAAAATAACAAATTCTGCATAACAGATTATTCATTCAACTAAAAAAATCTACGAACAAGCTGTTTACAAAACGCACAAAACAAACTGCTAAACAACTTATCCAAAACAGGGGCAAACAAACTGCTAAACAAGTTATCCAAAGCAGGAGCAGAGTGTTCATTTATGTAGAATAAGGTGTTTTCCAAACGCAAAAGCCAAATAATCAGCCAGCTTATTCGAATCAGGTGCTCAGATTATCAGGACCAACCGCTAGTGGCAAACCAGCTAGTGGCAAACCAGCTTCTTGTCCCAAACAGTATCATTCATATTTTCATCGCTTATTTATCCGAGCTCTTTTTTACTCACCGGAAACACCATTTTCTGGAGATTGCTGATTAAAATTCTTCCAATCTGGTTTGTGTCCGGAAAATCCTCCGCGATCGGAGAGATGGAGAGAGTGGTGAGGTACGGCATCATCGGCGTGGGAATGATGGGGAGGGAACACATGTTTAATCTTTCCTACCTCCGCGGCGAGGGCGCCGTTCTCACCTCTGTCGGCGATCCCCATCCTCCTTCCCTCGACCTTGCAGTCGACCTTGCCCATTCTTTGCAGCTCCCTCCTCTCCAGGTATTCTGGCTGACCTGTTTTATCTTGGATTGCTTAAAACTTCGTATTTGCTGTTTAAGTAAGCTGGTGTGTGATCGGAGAAACTTGTTTTAGGTGTTTCCGGGACACCGAGAGTTGCTTGACAGTGGGCTGTGCGATGTGGTGGTCGTAGCATCTCCAAACATGACTCATTTTGAAATACTTATGGATATTATTAATCATCCAAGACCTCATCATGTTTTGGTGGAGAAGCCCCTGTGCACTACTGTACAGGATTGCAAAAAGGTGATTTGTGATATATTGATGTGTTCCTTTATTTTTGAATTAGATACATTAATTACAGTTTTATATTGGGATTTTTACTAGTGCAGCAACTATATACAAATTTACCAAGATTTATAGGGCAGCTGTATAACACTCCCCTAGCCCGAGTGTTATAAGGTAGTTGTATAACACATGGTGATAACACATGGTGAGGCGGTATAACTCGCGGTATAACACGCGGGGAATATTCCTCACGTGTTATATCGCGGGCTAGGGTAGTATTATAGGATAGATGTATAACACGTGGGCGACGTTATATCTTGCGGTATAACATGCATTGAATATTCTTCATTTGTTATACCGCGGGCTAGGAGTGTATAATTGTGTTATTATGGGTTATTAGTGTGTTATTATGTGTTATTAGTATGTTATTTGTGTATTATTAGTTTGTTATTTGTGTGTTATAGAACAAAAACAATTTATTTAGATGTCATAACTTATATTTATTAATAACTTATATAAGAATAATAAAATTTAGGACAGATGTATAATGGAGAAGTACATCGAAACCAAACACAAACCCGAAGAAATATTTCTTCCAAAAACCCTAGCTGCAAGCATCCGAAGCTGCGAAATTTTTCTTCAGCTGGCAATAGAACAGTAGTGACTCCAACAGGTATA